GTTCACAGGTGTTTGTTATTAATATATCACTTACCTTAAATAAGGTAAAGAAGAACCACGAATTGACCAACGATCAAAGTTTATTATGCCAAAGATGATTATTCGTCTCAGGCCATAAAAAAATTAAATTGAACAAAAAGGCTGTAGAAATACGGATCCCTAAGTGAACGTTGATAACACAGCAAACAATAGTAATAATAAAGATAATAGTAAAAACAAGTCATCCTTAGTGAGCACTGTGCCATGCCACTGTTCTAAGCACTTTCTATGGATTAACTCATTCAATGCTCAACTACCTTATATGAGCTAGTTACAATTACCCTCACTTTACAGATGAAAAACCTGAGGTTAACTTCCCTTATGCCCTTCCTAGGAAGTGCAAGAGAAGGGACTTAAACCCAGGTTTAAATCTGGCTCCAAAGCACAGATCCTCAACCACTTCCAAATACAGAGCAGTAGGAACATATCAAATCCTAACCTATCCTATCTTCTGCTTTTATAACTGTCTTTGGTAAGACTTTCAAAGACTGACTCCAAATTTAGATGCTGGAAAAGCCTTAACCTGCCTTGCTGAAAGGCAGTTCTGCTGCGTAATGGTTAGGTTGCCTGGGTTGACTCCTGACTTTGATTTCTAACTGACACCTTGGGTGAGTTCCTTAACCTCTCTGTGCCTTGTTTTCTCATCTACGAATAAGACAAATGTAGTACCTATATCACAGAGTTGTCTCTTCCGAGGAATAAGTTATTGTATGTAAAAATACACAGAGCACTCCTGGCACATAATATATAAACGCTGCCCGTTATGGTTGGTTATGAAAGCCTCTACGGAATCGTCATTTTTGGTATCGTATTTCTAAGCCTATCCCTCCACCAAAGCAGCTCTTCACTGCGCCTTCAAAAACAGACGAGGATTTTTTTCAGCTGTGCCTTAACCCACATGCTAGTTCAGCATCTCCAAATCCTTAACAACTAGAATTTAGGACAGCTGTCCCCTTCAGAGGCTACACTTATCCTTTACCTGGCGTTCCTGCATGACCCAATGTGAATAATGCCTATAACCACGACATTATTCAGTAATTAAGTCCTCTAACACTCTCTCACCCTGTCCAATTTATAATACAGCCAGAGTAGTTTCTCTAAAACTTTAGTTATCACACTGACATTTCTTTCCTGCCTGATTCCCCCTATTGCTACTGCAGTGGTTACGCAACTTCTGAAATGGTACGAAAGTATGCGAGAAAGCACACACTTTCTGTCACCCTCCCTCACTGGTGCCGTTATGATCCGGTCCCTCTTCCTTCCCATCTCCCAGGCTCCAGCGAGGCCGAACGCTCCACTGTGCCCCCAAATCCCCTTCACTTTTACGTCTGGGGATCTCTTATTTTTCTTCTCTGCCTTCAAAAGCCATTTTCAAACGTAAGTTGCCTTACCACATCCTTAACATCCCCCAGGACTTGTTAAATCCTCCGGCGTTTCCACAGCACCGTCTACACACCAGCGTTATAATCCCAAACAAAACAGTCACAGATTCGCTCGTGCCCGCCTCTGCAGGCGGAGGCTCCACGCGGAGCGGGGGCGGGTGGGTTCCCCCCCAACCGCAGCGCCCCGCACGATGTCCGGCACGTCATCGACTTCCAATCAATTTGGCCAGCCGAATCAATGCACCCGTGGTTGCCTTAATCTGCTCGCCAGGACCCGCGCCAGGAGGAGTGGGCAGAAGATGCAGAGGCACAAAGTTCCCGGTCCAACGCCCGGCAGAACGCGCAACAGCAGCCCTGCGCAGGACCCGGAGCGGACCGCAGCTCCCGGGCACACAGCAGGCGCTCAGTAATCACTGGATGAACAAAATGTGCTGCCCCTGGGTACCCTGGCTGTCACCCAAAGCGCCCCACGGAGCCCGCACAGCCTCCCCGGCAGTACCTGCTGTCCCTCCGCGCCGGACCTGCGCTTCCCGCCGCCGACCATTCTGCAGCCGCAGCGCCCGCGAAACCCCGCGTTCCGCAGCCGCTTCCCAGAGCCGTCGACTGCTTCCGGGTTCAAAAGCCGCCGATGCGCGCGCCTGCGCCGCCGGGGGCGGGGAAGGCTCCGCCCACTGGGAGAGCGCGCCGCCGGGTGTGGGGAAGGCTCCGCCCACTGGGAGAGCGCGCCGCCGGGGG